GAAAAAATGATTGAAGCTGGCGTTACTCCAAACGCCGTTACATGGTCATCGTTGATCAGTGCATGTGCCAAAGCAGGTCTGGTAGATCAAGCATTTGTATTATTTGAAGAGATGGTTCTGGCCAATTGCATGCCAAATTCACAGTGAGTTTTATTTGCTCTGCTGTAAAATGCTATAACAAGTCTCGTGGGTGTCATATCTTCTYTGCCATTAGGACCTAAAATCCCAACCGAGATAAGAATCAATATGGAGAATCCCTTCAATCCACGTTCCAAATTAGATAAAAAGACATCCCCCACCAGAAGACCAACAGTTTTGCAGAGGCTGAAGGTGACAAATAGATCCTTGTATCATTGGTTACAGAGAAACTCAAATGAACAGAGAAGGCGGCAAGTATGGCATACCCACAATTGATGTTTTGTACATAATTAATTGAAACGATGATTATACCATATAGTATATTGCAAAAAATGTGATTGTAACACACCTCTCTAATCCAAGTTATTGAATATAAATAAAAATATCACTTCCACTTTGTTCTCAGCTTACGTGTTCTTTGTGATTTTCCATATCATCCTACTTGACCTTTTGTCATAGACAAACCATTGGGTTTTGTGAGAATAAAAAAAAAGGACCCAAATACGATTCATTTTGCATGCATGTGTCCGTAGTTTATCTAAAATAACTCATTTTTGTGAAGTATAATGATACTTTGTAATATTGAAATGGGTTGTTATCGTTGATTGGGTAATTTATTGCTTTAAGGTTTTTGTTTTTATCAATCTTAAAAGTTCATTGTTATTTTTGGCTGATCAATTTTTAGGCAGAAAAATTATATTATTTATCTCGCTCGTGGTTGGCTTAAGATAGAATGTGGTTCGATAATAACGACAACAAAAGGGCCGTTTATCGAACACTTACGTGGACGGTGAGCACTTACCAGGTTATTTACCTTATCAGATGAACGTTGCAAGTGTCATGAATCTTACCCAGTAAGAGCAGTGATAATGATGAATAGTTTTACTTGGTAAGTGAGAGTGAAGRCTTTTACTCGATAAACGCTTATCGGGTAAATTGTTTCATATGATACCATTTTGATGGACTATGATCTTACTCGATAAAGTAAGTAGTGTTGAATCTCACTGATAAGAGATTATCAGGCAAGTGTTTGTGGGTAAACAAACCGAAGTTAAGTCCCACATTAGGTGGTGGTATAGCCACTTTAACACTTTAGGGGCATGAATACATGTGTACATCTTATCYATTTAGACCCTGATTTTGAGTGAGATATACCGAATATTGAGTCGTTTGTTTCTCGATTCACAATAAAACTTGATATC